TCACTAGTTATAATAATACTTCCTGTAGGCCTGTCCAAAAAATACGTTAGGTAACTGAATTTTTTTATATTCAATAAATTTTAAATTATAAATCATCTTAAATCCCCTTTAAAATCATCTCCATTTGTTTTAGTGCACTATCGCCATTAACATTGACTTGAACATGGACTTTGAGAGACGTTTCGAGCAATGGAAATGAAGGTATAAATGGTAGGAAATGAATATTATTTTTAAGGGGATCGAATTGATTTCTTTAAAATTAAATTATCGCATCGGCTGGCATAATCTTTTGGGCAGACTATTGTTTTTGTCCCCTCCTCCTCCCCCCTTAATCTGTAACGCACTTCGGAGACGTCGGGCTCCCTCGGGAACCTAGAAGCGCACACTTTAAAAATGTCTGGTGCCGGTTTGCCGCGCTTCACTTCCGGATCGCTGGGACTTGTGACTATGTGATGGAACAGTCCGAATAGTTCCCTATGGCTAGAAGTCTTCTTGTTGTAACTTTTCTTGCTACTACTCGTCGCCACCGCCATGGGAATCCCTTGGCTGTGCAAATGCGTTACTAGATCCCGTACTCCTGAATCGATAACACGTATTATGTATAATTTAGCGCGGTCCTTATTATTTTGTTTTATAGAAAATCGCAGTCGACTCCCTCCGAAAAGATTTGTAATTATGAAAAAATACTCTCCTAATTTTTCTTTAGTTTTAACATGTTTTGGGATGGAGTCAGTTTAACATTTGCAGTTGTCAGTATGTTCAAAATCTGACCTAGATGTGCCTCCATATATCTTAAATCTTATCAATCATTATCTCTTTCTATCCCTCTTTATATCTTACCACTCCACCTTATCCCTTATTATAATCAGCGGTATCCCGATTATATTCAGTTTGATATATTTTAGTTAAGATTAGGTGTGAGTGAGTGCCATACAACATATTCATGATACACATGTTTCTCACCACTAGTATTTTTAAACTCGAGGCTAAATATTGTCTTTTTCCAACAACCACAACAATAAAACGTCTTGAGGTGTGCCTAACGTTTTTAGAATATTTTTTGCGACGATAAACAGAATAATTAGTGGTGAAAGACTGAATTGCTTATCATTTAAAAGTTGTGAATTTTTAATTAGTAATCAAAAAAGTGTATTTGATGTTGCGATACAACGCTAAGCGTTTTTTATTTAACTTAAGTATATTTATTAGGAAAAATGTATTTCATAGTCATGATGGACAAACCATAAGTAGGTACTGTTTTATAAGTGGCAAAGAAGAATAGTAAGATGAACAAAAATAATAACTAATATGACTGCAATATTACCGTGTAACAGCGGCACTTTTGTCCATAAGTTTTCTTCTAGAAGTTTCACTTTTTGTACATAATCTTCGGGCTTTATTTCTAATTTCAGTGTTTTTATTACTTCTTTGGCTCCGTCCAGTTCTGGACGTCCGATTATTTTCATACGGAGTTCCGGCGAAAACGTCGTACCAAATTCTTGAGCAATGATCCTGTACGTTTTTTTGTGAATGTTTTCGGTATCTGAAACCATCAAGTACTGTAACAACACTACTTGCAGTGACATAGTCATGATTTGATCTGGAGGGGGGGAGTGGTGTGCAAATATTGTCATATTTTTATGTAATGAAATAGAAAACATTATACAATATATAGTTTTTATAGATATTTGTACTAGTTTTCAACATATTATCTCAGTTAGGATAGTTTCGGATAATTAATGTAACTATTATTAACTGTAACACGATGTGAAATTGCCAAATTATCATACCTACATTTGAGGCGATCAGATGCCAAACCATTTAACTCCATATAATGAAATTTTTCAGGACAGGCAGTTAAAGTTATTTGAAACAATGTATGCAAGTATAATTGTCAATTTTCTTAGTGCACCCTAGTGGTGAAAAATTCAACTATGGAGTTACTTACCTAGGACACTGAAAATTATACACTTTTTTAATCCTTTTATTATTCGCAATTTGAAAAAAGTGGAGTTAATCGGTTTGGCATCTGAGCGCCTCATATATCACAAAAAAAAAAAAAATGAACTATGATAAAGGCGATTATGGTGGACCGAAATAATGTATTTTAATTTTGTCGTAAATATTATGTCTTATGGCTGTAGGTTTGTCGAATATTTGATGCTTTTTGGACAAAGGATAGAGGGTGGGAATGATGAAGCGTGGATGAAGTGAGGATGGGGAAAGGGGAAATCGGCTAACTGAAAAAATGTTACTCTGGAGATTATTGAAAAGAAAATCAGCTAAGAGACATAAAACCATTAACAGACCAGATCAAAAAATGATGATACCATATTAAAAACCTTCAGTCGAAAGAAAGGAACAAACTATTATAACAATTGTTTTTTTTTTTTTTAATAATAATTATCATCGAAACTAATTTTAGGCCTTAAAAAGTAAAACGTATGACAACTTTGGTAAATTGACTATTCGTATTAATAACTAAAGACTATTTTATGAGTAAATTATGTTTTCACCAAAGTTCTACAAAAATAATATTTAAAAAAAAAAAAATAATAAATACCTAATAATGTTCCATCCATATCGAAAATAACATGTGTCACCGGTTCGATTGTCTTCTTTGGGGCGTCCATTGAAAACGGTAACAATATTTAATTGTAAATAATTGTCAAATGTGGTTTTTCGACTAAAAATATTTTACAAATATAATACGGAATTGTTATTTAGTCAGTATAGTTTTCCACGGTAACGAAATTTCACATTTTCCCACATTGTACAAATTCTACTAAGAACCCGAACACGGTAAGATGAAATTAATTATAGTACATTTCACTCGGAAATTGTAGACCATTTAATAAAATCACATCCAGTCCCCAGGCACATTACAATGTGCACAACTTTTTTTTTAATATTATTTTTTTCAATTTAGTCATATAAAAAATAAAAAATGATCATAAGATTTTAGCATAATTTAATAGTAATCCACTTTTTTTGTATTTATATTTATTTATGATGTCTATTATATGTACACAAATTCATGTTAAAAAAATAAATAAAAACTGTTCTTTTAAAATATTAAAATTCTAGTTCTTCGAATAATGAACTGGAAAAAAATAATTGATTTAAAATCAAAATGTCTATTTGAAAGTTTGGAATAAAACAAAAAAAGATAATTTGGATACAACTCAAATTTGAAATTGTGTATTGTCAAGTAATTGCAGAACTAAGATGCCATACTTAATCCAACGATAATTAAACCTAGTTAAGAACACCTACCCACGATAATACTCTTTATCTGCAGTCGGATTAAAATTACTTCACCCAAGTATATATAATATGATAAGATTACAAAATAATACATAACTAATGTAATGTTAATTTAAACAGTTAAATATATATATAGAGAAGTTTTATTAAGCTAAATTTTAAAATAATGTTATTGCTACTTGCACAATATTGGAAGTATAATTGCCGTTTATTTTTATGAAGTCTGTGCAGAATTTATAATCAATAATAAAATAAAATAAAGTACTTACGTTTTGCAGCTCATTAGATTACACAACAAATCAATATTTACTCATAGTAAATTTGAGAAACAATGCATATGGAAACGTTACATAAATTAAAATATTATATTCTAGGTAAACACCTGCAAAAGAGCGGACGAAAGCAGTTTTTCTGACAGCTGATTAGTCGTGATAAAAACCAAATGTTACATAACCTGAAATTATTTGTTGTGCCAAAACCAAATTCACGAAAAAACCCGCCAAAAGGAAATTCGTATTTTTAAATCAATAAAATTATTTGTATTTAGGTTTTTATTTATTTTATAATAATTGCGTTAAAATGTTAAATACAGTTTTATACTCGATAAATATCGTGTGCTTTCTATAATAATTTTATACAAGTTTTTCTTTTAAATTATATTAGATTATTATTATTGAAATAAAATGTTTGTTTAAGTATGGCTATAGTGTAAAAATTTAAATAAATTGTTTCTTTTTGTAAAATTAATAAAATTAAATAATTTGACAAAAATCCTTACATAATAAATGAAAACATGATAGTGTAAATTTAGTAGATATTGGTATATGTAGAATATACAATTAATCACTGTGCGCTGGAATTGTAGATTAAATAGTCGTGTTGTAATATTAGAAACTAGGAAAGCTCTGTCATCAATATTATACGAAAAACTTCTCTCATATAAATGTAATTCGTAGTTACTCAAGTGTCTGTGCGATTTTCAAGACAGACTCTCTGATTTCTCACATGTAAAGTATGATAAGAATTATTGCTCACAATGTATACTAATAGTTATTCTCATAATTTCTTCTTGTTATTACTAAGTATATAATATATTATAGTGATATTTGTTTATTACAATTCATTATAATGTTATGGTTTAATTAATAAAAATATAAAATCTAATATTTTATAATCCTAACCGATTTTTTTTTAGGTTTTACAATTATTGGCTAAAAAACAGTTGGGCGGTTGCAACGAAAAAAAAAAGGGAAATGTCTGTACATTTGGCAACACTGCGGCCGTGTGGCGCAACGCGTTCCCATTCGGCGGCGATCAAACGACCGCGGGCCGTCCCGTTTGAGACGCTTCCGCCATTTTACAGCGTCCGTTTGGTGATTGGTCAGGTACATGTTCGTCGAGGACGCGTAACCCGCGTTTGTTTCACCCGGTCTGAACGGTTCGTCGGTCGTGTCGATTGCGCTGTGCTTTTTGACGGTCAGACAATTGTTAAATGTTTATTATTGTTTATTATTACTGATAATTAGCTGTTATTGCAGTCGAATGTCAGAATTTTAATTGTGTATTATTCCACAGCTTCCGCCGAGCGTTCTCAAGATATTAATTGGTATTATCGTTATGTGATTCGCCGCCGCCGCCGGGTTTTGCTCGTCGTTTTGTCGCAAAGGAGTTTGTACACGACATAATGATATATGTTACCTATATATACCTACATAATAATATTATAGTAAGGTCACAAGAATATACCTGACCTAACCGACGCATAGTGTGTTGCATGGACGCCGGAGACATCATCAACGACAGTTGCGAGTAACGTATATAATTGTTATATTTTGTTTAATTTTCCACCATTTTACATAGTATATTACCATCTCAAAGTGTATTTTTACTCATATTATAATACTTTATTTGAGTTTTTCAAGCCGTTTGATACGATAATATGTCTTTGGGTACTACGTGACGTACATGGGTTTAAATAGATATTAAGCGATTATTCTCGTACCGTTAGCTTATTAATTACAGTGTTTGCGGTTCAATTAACATTTTTAATTACATCTGTTAAGCATATACTTCATATAAATGCAACTTTATGGAATTCCAAAGCGTTAATGTTCTAAATAGAGATTTTTTTCTCACTTCGAATAATGATTTGTAGATAATTAACCCATTATCCAGTGGTGACGTTGAAAAATAATGGCGCTATGCCAGGACCCTCTTGTCAATTTTATTATATCTCTACTGAAAAAAAACTAGAAACAAAATCGACATATTATATTAGAAAAGGTAAACGTTTGTTCAATCTAATCAGATAAAACAAAAAACGTTACAAGAATAATGTATTTCCGTTTGCAGATGTTAAATTTAAAATTAGCGTCGTTCTTTTATTTTTTACTCGTATATTTTTCTTTCTTACAAGTAGTTTTGAATGCCATCTTATAAAATCTGACTAAGAGGATCGGAATGCGCCAAATTTTATACGAATAAAGACTAAACTCAGTCACTTTCTGAAGTGTCTATCGAATCGATTTTTTGTTATGAAATTTAACATCTTGTACATGAGGGTTAAAAGGCCGATTTTTTGTTTTTATTTTCAACATTTTATTATAAACGTTTTTATTTTTATAATTATCTAGTTTTTTCTAAAAAATTTATCTAATTTTCTAACGGCTAAATCAAGAGAAAATGGCATGCTTCACATAAAAAAAAAATTAAAATTTGTCCAATAGTTATGTAAAAAAATGACTTCTACTAAGGTAATTTATTATCAAACTTTAGTCGTAACACTCGAAGAACAAAAAACTTTAATTGTTTTGTACCTAACTGTAAAAACTTGTTACTTTTTCATTCACCTTAAAATTAGTCAGCATATTATTTAATATAGCTCTTTCCGTTCCGCGCTTAATAATATAATAATTATTTGTACTCGTATTTAATTGATAGTACAAAACACTAGAGGTATATGACTTGTTTCAAATATTTACATTGCTGTGGCCTATCTCTATTCGCATTTAATCAATTCAATAACACAAAAGAAATAAACAAACGTCATAGTATAATAAAAATAATAATAATCGAAACTAAAGTTGTTTCAATATATTTCTTGTAAAATGATTTGATAAATGCATGCGTCACTCAAAATTTCAAAAATGTTAACTTTTTTAGCAAACTAAAAATATTTATTTTTCAACATTATGAATGACAAATGACAATGTATTTTGTAGAAAATAACGTAGTATAAATAATTTTTTTGCTTATACCAATATTTTGTTATAAGAAAAATTATAAACTAACATTTTTGAGATTAACAAAAAAATGCTTATATAGTGTGACATTAATTTTAGTTCTAGGAAAAAGCAATAATCATAATATTGTTTATGTGCTTTAATTTATCTATTTTGAACCAATTCATTGAGCGTGCCAATTAAAATACCATCCATTCAAATTTTGAGCTATTGAAAAAATTGAGACTAAAATAAAATTTCTTTCTAATGATTCTTAAAACACCGGCACTTTAAAAAAAAAAAACAGTTTATTGAACAAACAAATTTTCTATATACTCTAGAACAAAGAAACTAAAAACAAAAAAGGTTCGAGTTTCAAAACTAATAACTTCCTGAAAAGAAGATTAATCATTTTTGCTGTTTTTATCAGTAGTGTTTAAAATAATTATGCACACAAATATATACATTTTTAAAGACTGATAGTTAATAAGCTTTTAATAAATTCACTGCATTGTATGTAATTTATTATATATAGTACATTTTATTAAACATTTTTTTTAATACACATTTATTATTAATATACATTCAATTGTTGAAAATATTATATTTTTTTAGTGAAACTTTGGTTTTAGGATTTTTATTTTGACTTTAATAACATAGTAATGCAATTTCATTGAAATATTATTATCTACACGGTAAATTTGAAAATCAAGGAAAATATTTTGGTTTATATGTTTTAACAGATCTGCTTGGTTTGTCCGAAAGAAAAAAGGCGAATCAATCCAAGGACCAAATAAAAAAACGTATGATCGATTGATGATTTTTTGTTAATTTTTGTTTCATTTCCGGTTTTTTTCATCAGCAGGTGGACAGAGCCGAAAAAAATGTCAGGCACTCCGACGTTCGATCATAACTATCACAAATCTCATTTACCGGAAACTAGTGATGACCTTATCGTTTCGAATCAACAAAAATATGACCAGGAAAACCTCGAAAAGGACTTGTTTAAAACAAAAAACCCCAGTGTTGACCCGACAACTTTGAATGACTGCAATCGAATACATTTTTCAGACGGTCAACCGAAGATTTGTGACGTCGGTGTTGACGCTGTTACAGACAAACGAAACATGATTAAAGTGACCAAGAACTTGGGGAAATCAAATATCCAACGAGTAAACGATGATTTTCTTGAGCACGTTGGTGGTTTGGTCTCAATGAAAAACACTGAACGCGAAAATTCAAAAAATGTAAAAAACTCTGTTAAAAAATCGACCAGCAACACGGGTGGTAGAAACAACTTTTTGGTTATAAATCCGAAATCGTTGTATGAGAGTGGTGGTGTTCATAAAACGTCTGATAACGGACAGAGGATTGTTCCAACTAGCCCGCCGAGTTCAGTTATAGAAGAGCCGTTTTTAAATGAAGTTATCGTTACTTCTATACCTCCAGAGTCTCAGCTCCAGACAGCTAATGATAATTCGAATTCCGATGAAGGTTTAACGGACGTGGGACAAACTCAAAATTCTTCGACGTCCAATGTTCTGAATTTCAAAATAAATAAATCTATCGGCCAAATTGCCGGACAAGCACCAACAATTCTCCCATCGCTTGGAGTAGATGTAATTGCTGATGTTATGGTTCAGTTATTTAATCTAGGCCAAACAAAATATAATAAATTTATGTCTGTGGTCGATAAGATTCGAGAGGAAAAAGTTCTGGATGAAACTTATGATTTTTTACATAAGCAAACTCAAGATAAAACGACCAATTGTTACATACTTTGCCTCGACTCGACTAATCAGGTAAACCCAACCCAAAGGAAAGAAGATGTTGATGATTCTGACAAAGATAATAATACAATCACTGACAATGTGTTGGATCAAAACGCTGTAAATTCAGATAAATCAATACAAGAAATAAGTACAAGTTTTGACCGAGTTAAGTGTAAATATAATGTAACCGAATTAAAAGAACTAAGAATTATAACTCCGAAGATTGATGATCGTAAAACAAACAAACGCACAGAGAAAGTAATCAAATTGAAGTCTACGTTTGTTGGGCCATTATGTAAAAAATTAGCTTTTTGGAAAAAGGAAACACTAAGTGCGAAAAAAATAAAGACGAGAACACAAACAAGCAAAAAACTTAAGAAAAATTCTGACGTTATACTTGAGTCATACTTCGTCGGTTATGAGAATATTTGTCTTTCAAAAGAAGTTACTAAAAAAAATCCGTCAAAACATAGGATACTACATGAACTAAATACAGCGCCCACAATTAAAAGGAAGTCGCCAATCCCCGAAATGAAAAAAAACAAGCCTCTCGAAGAAGAAAACCCGATAAAAAAAAACATAACCCCTTTGTTTGTTTCGAATACTATCAAACCTAACCAAAGTAAATTTAATGATGCAAATATCGCCTCCGATATAAATGTCGCTTTATCAAATAAAACGATTCAGTCAACCGAGACACAAGTAATTACCGTCAGCCAGTCCAAACCATCTGAGAAATCAAAAAAACCGAGAAGGAAAAGGAAATCTGCTCTCGAGGTACAAACACCTGAAAATGAAAACGTAGCCCGTTCGTTAAGTGAAAAACAAGTAGTAATTATCCACGACCAGCCGGAAGAACCCGAAAAATCGCGAAAACTCGAGTGGATAAAAAACAAATCAAAAACGTCTCCGATAGTCAATAAACAACACAACCATATCGATAAAGAATATTTTCCAACGGCCAAGAACGTTTTGAAGTGCAAGTTTTGTCAATTCCGCGGCACCAATCTGCCAATAGTCGAACACTACAAAGAAATGCACAAAGACGAGGAAGTCTTGCCGTCCAGAGTGTCGGACACCTGCGCTAAAAAATTAATAAACGATTCTATAGCACACAAATTGGGATTAATGAATTGCGAGCGACTGGAAGAAAACCGGGTTGGACGGGGTAAACGCAAACGTAAAACCTTGAGCACCTTCTACACTTGTATATTTTGCCGTAAGACTATTAACGATATTGACCTTTTTTCCGACCACACGGCATCTCACACTGGCGAGTACAGTTATCAATGTGAATTTTGCCACGTGTCCTGTGCGAGTGCAAATCATTTGAAGGAACACCGCACAACGCATCCGACGAAGTACAGCAACACCCGTATGAATGTCTTCCGACTTGTCTACCCGAACCCCATCCCGGTCAAAACGCTGTACGGGTATCTGTGTCCGTTTTGTAATTACACTCAGTTGAGTTACACCAACATGATCAAACACATGGGCCGATACCATTCCGCCGAGGACAAGAAACCCAACGGCCGGTGGACCGTGATCCGGATCAATATGTCTTTCGACAAGTTTAACGTTTGGGACAGTGTGTCTAGTGTGGACTATAGCAATTTGGTTGGATGTCGACCTCCTCTTTACTATGAAGAAAATCTTAATTCAGTAACAACTGCAGCAAACGTTTCTGGTGGCGATACATCGAAAACTACCTCAATATCCTCTAAATATAAAATGAATCTTAACCGGAATCCGCTGAGTGATGATTTCTATGAAAAATTGCTCAACAATAATTTGGGTGAGTACATTAAAAAAAAAACCCCCGTTTAGTTAAGGCTGGGCGGTACATTTCGATATCCGGCTTACCAAAAACTATTTTAAGACATACATTATTATTTATTAATTAACAGCTTTACATTATTTTTAATTTTTTCCGCTTATATCCATGTCGGTGTTTTGAAACCAGCAGGGGTGGGTATAGTAGTATTAACGTAATGCTAACAGGGAGACTAAAATCAGTTTTACCCAGTTAGAAAAAAATAATACTCAAATAAAACGTCGCATCCACGAATATTTATTTAACTTGGGCAAATGTATAATAAAAAATATTCTTGTTTAACTAATAATGCCAAAAATATGTACTATTATTATTATTATTATTTGATTACTAATAATATTCTTAGAGGCGTGAAGGGTTCATCTTATAAATCCACCTTGGTCAGAACTCAAACGTTGACATGGACATAACCGAAAAGATGAAAAATAATACAACGATCAATAAAAGCTAGAACTATGTATATCCGATATCGTAAACACCGCCTGATTTAATTCAGTCTTTTTTTTAAATATGTCTTATGACTGGATGGAATGAGAGAGAAAAGGACGAAAAAAATCTAGTGATAAGAGAACGGGGTGAGAATGAAATGGTTATAAGGCGAAATCGATAATGCCTGGACAAGAGATAAGATAATCGATAAAAGAATAAGAAAATAAACTGGTCATAAGAGAAATATTGATTTTTTTTTTTTACATTTGTCAACAATTTTATTCATTAACAGGTGCGACATCATCTACTGATACGGCCAGTCCTAAATATATGTTGAAAAAAAATGTGAGAAACTGTTACTTTTTCAACTTGTTAAGTTGTTTGCAACTCAAAGCCGTTGTATTGTTTCAATGTCTGGTGCCAAAATGCATGGGTAGTTCGTTTTCAACAGTCTTGTATAGCGAGTTCCTTAAGCATATCCAGATGTGTCACGAGTCGTTGAGTTGGAATGGAGTGTGCAACGTTTGTATAGGCCAAACTAAACCAAGTACGGAACGCTTATACATGCTGGACGCTCTACAACACTTGGTTCAATTCCATTTGACTTTATGCAAAGGAAATCAACCATCTACGGGTATGTAATATTTTAGGATAAAACCGGTTCGATCTATTCAATTTCCTATCAATCATTATTTGTCAATTCTCTCATTATTTATCTTTTATCAGTCATCCGGGAATGGTCGATTTGCCCCTTTTTACCATTACATTCCCACTTCATGTTTACAACTATTCCATTCCCAGCCTCCCAGCCATAGACATATTTGTGTCAATACATCTTATAACATACCTAAAATTAAATGCTTTATGAATGATTTTTATTTTTTTTATAGCCAACGCAATCGTTGTGAGCGATACAGAACAAAATGAAAACGCTAAAAAAGATGCGATTGGACAACCTGCAACGGCAGTGAAACTACGGGTTCGCCATTTACCCGGCGACAAGCTTTCATCTCCTCGTAAGTTAACCTTATCGTGTAGAAATTTAGTAGGTTATTATTATTAGCTTTTGGGTAATTTCGCCGAAAGTAGGACATATTTTGTGCCCATGGCAAATCGTTAATATGGTTCAATAACGAAGGTAAAAAAAAAAAAATCAATAAATAGCCATTTCCTCGCACTCCTGGCAATTGTCCCATCATCTATGACTGATCAAGGTCGCTTACAATCTTGCTACATTCTTACTAAACCAACCATAACGTTGATTTTGTAAACAGTATATTATCAGTAAAATTGTAGTTTTTACTCAGCCCACTCCCTTGTCAATCATAGGTCACATCACGTGGGTAGTTTTGACTTTTTTTTGGACATTAGAATCGGGCGTTATCTGACAGTACACCTGTATCATTAAAATTCGATTTTTTTGTACCAAAAACAACTAAAATAATCACAGTCTTTGTGAAAAATATTATATCCCTGTGCCTCTTGGAATTGGGCTTATGGCTTTATATGGTAAATGTAAAACAAATTGTTTCTGTTGGCTATGGTCCGTTTATAAGGAAGAATACAATATATAATAATCTTATTTATGGATTTTTTTTTTTTAGTAAACGTTTATCCACAAGAGACAAGCCCAAATATTCTGCAATTGTTTGATCAAGATTTATCTGTTGAATTTAATGACAGTAACGCAGGTAAGGTCGTTAATGGTGTAATACAAAATTTATTATAAAGCAACTAGAAAGTTAGCAAACGGTTTTGGAATTAATTTTTTATTTGTTAGCAACACATCACTGGAGTTGGGCATTATTCGAATATTTTTTTTAACTAGATTTTTATTTTTATTTTTAAATATTTAGAAAAAAATATAACAAGTATGACAAAGAAAGTTTTTTAAGTTAGTTTTTGATTTAGATTTCAAGATTAAAAAAAAATTTATATTCATTGTTTTTGAAAATTTATTTCTAATTAACTAAGATGACTTATTATGTAAACATATATATATATATATTTTTTTTATTAACTATTTACCATTAAAAATAGTTTAATTTGAAATAAAACAATTATTTATTGTTTTATATTATTCAATTTAAATGATGCCTAAGATTCAAAAATAAAAACAATTATACTAGTTAAATCTATAATATTATTTAGTTAATTAATTTTTGTTTTTGTTTTAACAAGATCTAACAAGTATTGCAGACGACAACATTGTATCGGATGTTTCTTCTTTTCTGGAATCAAGTGTGTATAAATAATAATTATATTCTGCTTGAATATAATACTTTGCTAAATTATATAAATATAAAAGTTCAACTGGTTTAACTAAAAAAATGTTCCCTTCTCAATTTTATAATGTACTTTCAATTTATTTTTTATTGTATTTGTTCATAGTATACAATTTAAAACTTTTCAAAAACTCAAATGGAAAAAAAATGTTTTTTTTAACATTATTTTTATATGAAAAAAAAATCTCACTTACGAATTTGATTACTTAGAGTGTAATTTAACAAGTATTAAAATCTGGTACTTGTAAAAATATTTCAATATTTATGAATAATTTTAATAATTTGAAAATATTGTTTTTTAAGACAATCAAATGGATATTTCTGACAGTAGAACAGCTACAAACAACATTCGAATATATAACGTGAGGACATTAAATGAGGTAATATTTTTAATTACTAATAGATAAGTTATTAGTTAAATATTTTTACATTGGTTTTTAGTCTTTAATTTTTACATTACGTTTTTAGATTTTTAAATCCGATTCAAATCAACTTTTTAAACTTTAAATTATTTTTTTGAATTTCGAATAATTTGCAGAAAAGTTTGACAGGTCGATAAACAGTTTTGGATATTTAATTTTAAAGTAATTAAAGTTCAAAATTTAGGACGACAGATAAAAATAATCCTACACTTCAAACCTTTCCTTTCTAAATTTTAAACTTTAGTAACTTTAAAAGTTATTATCCAAAATTGGCTCAGTCAAAATGTTCAGCAAATTATTTTTTATCTAAAAAGTCATTTGAATATAAACGTTATCATTTAGGTGTTAAAAAGTTTATTGATGGCTGGGAAAAAAATAAAAAGATAAAAATTTGAATATTTTCTAACATACTAAAGTAACATGTTATCCCTAAATGTTTAAAACTTCAAAATTTCAATTATTTTATGAAAAAAATAGCGTCTTAAGTTAAATTGATCGCCCTGTTTCAATTATATATATATATATATATATATATAACAACCAAAGTATTTAAAATAGTTGAAATAGTTGAGTGTAAAAATAAGATAATTTTCCGTTTTCGACTTTTTATGAGTTTTTACCTCTTTTTTTTTTCTAAACATTTTCATGGAGATTCCAATTTGAAATTTACACATTGTAATTAAAAAAATTCAGTTTTCTGAAAATTTTTTTAGAAAAATTCTTAAATTTTAAGCAAAACGATAACACCAACTTTTTAAATTATAAACTCAATTTTAATGACTTGATTATTTCACACAAGGAACTAGTTTTTAATTTTTTTTATAACTATAAAAAAACCGATAAAATAGAGGGGTCAAGACAAAAAACTCATTATACTTTTTACGACCAGTGAAGTGGCAGAAATGAGCCATTCGGTTGTTGGTTGTTTTGTCGAAAAGTATACTGGCCGAACAAATTTTCCAGTAAACCGTACCTTCTTTTTTGTGGAAGCAAATATCGGTGTCGATAATAGTATCTTTTTCTTCGGATTCAACATCTGCTTAAAATACTGAACCTGAACTGATTTCCCTATTTGAATGTTACATGATTTTATACAGTTCCAGGATGACCATGTTAACGGGAAGAGTGTTTCCAATGAAAATATCAAAAGTGACGATAGTGATGATCAACAGATCGTCAACAACGGGCAGCTGATCGATGGCGAATTTAAGTTAATGGACACGGACGATACAAAAATTAATGAAACGCGATTTGAACAATGTTACAATGAAATGTCGAAATCCGTTTCCCTACACACGATGACCGTCCCGAACCGATTGGGCCTTTTCAAATGTTTGGAAAAAAGGTGTAGACGAATTTACACGGATGTCAAATCGTACAAACGACACATGCTCGTCCATTACACTCAACCGAAACCGAAACAAAGTAACTATCTTTACCATCCATATTTATTATAATGCGTTAGGTAGGTATAGCTGTATTTTTTTTTTTTGCAAAAATCTTCTTTAAACGTTAAATTGTGATAAGTAATTAAAAGTTCAGTAATTAGGGCTAATTTTTCGGGTAGTTAATTTATTTTTCGGACCATCACAGCTTATCTGACAGCGATTTAAATATTGGTTATCACGGATTATATGTTAATGGCTGGATACAAAACATGTCATGTCAATGCTTTCAATTACAATTGGAGATAAGAGTTAGGAGATACGTGATAAGATATGAGTGATAAGAGATAACATATCTATGAATATTTTTCCATGGAAGGAGGAATTAACTAGGTTTTTTTCGTCTAAACGTATTTACACAAAACAGAAAAAGGTACTCTTATGAGTGATTTTAATGATAAAGCACTTACATTGAAAAAAGATATAGTGCAATATGTTTGTATACGTTTTACATTATAGAAATTACACAAGTCAGTATGATGTTTGCAAAAACACTTTTTTTTAACTATAATATTTGTAACTTTTTTCTAATTGGTATTTTAAAAAACTCATGAGGTTCTTTCAAGCTTAAACTCTGCTGTTATTTTAATTTTTTTAAATAAGATTTTTTATTGTAACTGACACAATTTGTCGTATAAAAAACTATTTTTTTTTTGTAATCGACGGTTTTTTTTTAAATGGTAAATTTTCGGTGTAGTCAGAATTTCCTACCATTTTATTTATTTTTAAATTCGTTAAAAACAGTATTATAAGTTAAAATTACTTCAATTTGACTTAAATACAAAATAAAATATTAATTTATAATTAATGATAACTTTATATAAACTTACCATAAAAAGATGGCTTTAATGGTATTTTAATAATAAATAATTATGTATTTTATTTATTGTTTTTTTAAAGAAAATGCTCAGTTTTTTCTTGTTGTTTTAGAAAGAGCAGGCGAACAATACAAATTGTGTTGTTATTGTTATAAGCCGTTTGACGATCTAGATTCATTGATCGATCATGTCGTCGAGAAGTACGCTCATTGCCTATACTTTTGCCAGTATTGTTTGTACCGTGCATACACACCGGCACATGTTTTGGCCCACGAGGTAATACAATACTGTTAAAATATACAATTTTATACAACCGAACAATACATAACATTTATTGATTGTTAAACATTCAGACGAAATTGCACCCTAAACGCAAGCCTCTAGTAATACAAATGGAAATCGACGATCACAGAGGTTTGCTAAAAGAAAATGTGTTGCCTGTGGATTATAGTAAATTCGTTTTGCCTTATACTTGCGATCAGGGTAAGTACCAAATACTATTATTATTATTATAGTGATTACACTTGATGATAACGTTTATTAGACATATTATTTCTTAAACCATTTTCTTTTTCTATTGCACATCCATCGCATTTTCTACTTCAGCACTATTTTTCTTTATTCTCTTCCAGCTTTGTTCATCGCCATCAAAGCTAACCATTTTCATTCTGGTAATGCCAGTACAGCTACTGGTAAAAATCACTCTACGTTTATCTATTGTTTTTAATAATTGTGAGACACAATAACTATGCCTTTTTTATTTGGAATAAACCCCAAAATGTGTACGGGGTGATCACTTTATCGTAGAAAACTCATTTTCTAAAATGAAAATAAAAGCTATTACATTTTTGTAGCTAATTTTATTTTTAAGGACGTTTTAATTTATGTTCATTTTACAATATGTTTGATAAGGTAGATAATGACAAAAGAGGTTTTGTCAATGCAAATATAGATTGGGGGTTGGACACATTGTAGTCATTGTTTAAAACGAGAACAGAGCGATTCTTGGACCACTAATTATCTCATAGGGTTGAATAAGAAATTGCATTTTTTTTTATAAGAGTTTAAAATTTAGGAGGATAGTGCGCGCAGATAAGAATAATACTACACTCCACTTTTCCTCTTGCCCTAAACTCAAAACTTCAATAACTTAAAAAATAGTTATCCGAAACTGGTTATCGACCAGTCAACATGTTTAGTACATTATTCTTAATTTAAAAAGTTAATGAAATGTAAGCGTTACCATTTAAGTTTCAAAAATGGCTATCAAAAAAAATAAGTGGGGAGGAGGGTAAAAACCAAAAAATTTTGAAAAATTGAGATCACATTGTATAAAAGAATATTAAATAAAACAGTTAAATTTCTTATTACTCTATTAAATATTGGCGAGGTCCGTGATAAAAGAATCACCTTGTATAATCATTACATGGGTCGCTTTTGATACTTTGCAAACATTTTTTTTTTATTCTTTTGATATTTTATAGAAAAAACCTGTTTGTTTTCCTGTTATGTGGTCGATGATTTTATAACTCACTTGCAAGACGTGCACGGAAAACGTGATACGTTTAGTTGTTACGAATGCACTAACCAGTTCAAAAAAGAATGTAATTTTTCTTTACGTTGGTCGACAAGTATTAAAACGGTAAATTGAAATTGTTTGTACTTATGTTTATTTTAATATATATATATATTATAGATAATATAATTTTTTTTAAGATTTACTCTCATTCACGTTGTCAATATTTTTATCCTAAAATTTAGCTTTTAAAAATGAAAAAAAAACACTAAATTTGCACTTAAGCTAAGCTAACGAAATTTGAATATTTTAAAATTAGTAAATATTTTTGGGACTTCTTGGGGGGAAAATGGCTGACGGGTAATGTAGTAGCTGACATTTTTAAGAGAGGAAGATAGGGTTGGAAGGAGATGGGACGGAAATGTGCTGGTGATAAGAGAAAGTAGTTAAATTCTGGATAGGAGATGAGTGATTAGAGAATAGCTGATAAGACCAAGGGGTTGACAGTGTACACTCAAAGTTTAACATGGTGGATATACTTATCACTAAAAAACGTGGCGGCCATCTTCACATTTATCAATGAGTATGATGTTATTTCTATACATTAGTTGTGTATAGATATAATTTTAGGTTAAAAGAGAAGACGGTGGTCTCCATCCGAAAATCATTGCTTACATTAAGTGCCTCTCTCTGGGATAATACATGTGCATGTTCCAAATGTTTCTGCTTGTAGAGTTGACATTATTTTTTTTTTATGTCTTCCAAAGACTTTGTTACGTTTATAATAATTAAAGTATTTTATTATACATTTAATAGCATTTCGAAGTTCACAGCATATCCACGTACCAGTGTATTTTCTGTTTGTTTGGAGCGGACAGTACTGAAAAAATAATACTACACATGGCGATGGAACATTTCGTGCATGATTTAATATGTATCGAACGTCGGTTGAAGAACGATTGCAGCGTACGTGTCATACCATACACAACTTAAGGGTTTACCTAAAATTAATTAAAGACATATTACCGTTTACAGGATTCAACGAAAATCGAAAATCTAAAAATCGTTCGATTGGAATCGAGCATAGACAAAAGTATTTTAAAAAAAATGATTTTACCCAAACCCTTTCCGGAAATCTCAGCGGGCCTAACCGAACAACAACAGACACAATGTACAGATTCCATCGACGACACCACGATAAGTACACCGTCGTTTAATCATTTATCTTCTTCTTCCGACAACCAAAATCCTGTGACGTCGGTAAAATCACCAACGACAATGGACGATGGCCAAATGATAGCTCTAAGAGACGATGAAGTTACGCGGCCACAGTGTTCCGGTTTGAAGAGAAAGCGTTCGGTTGAAGATTCAAATGTGAGTTCAAGCGTTTCTAAACTAATAACCACCAGTTAAAATTATAAAAACCAAACATGTCGTGGGAGGGTAAGGGGAGAGGATGGGAACCGGGAAGTGATATGAGGGAAGGGCGATGATATCTATATTAATAAATGTGAATGAGAAGGAATCGATAGTCTAAAAGAATCGGCTGATGAGAGACAGAAAATCAGCTGGTCACAAGACCTGTTCATGTCTTTCGTTCTAGGGAAATGTATATGTCTTATTCAGAATCAGTAAAATTTAGCGTTGCTAACTATTTATTGGAGAAATAGTAAGAGAGCAAGCTGATTGGAGATGATAAAACATTGATAAAAAACGGAAAAACAGCTGACCATAAGTCATATTCATGATCCACTATGTGTTTTCTTTTAAGGGGGAAAGATAGAAATTTCTTGATATTATAAACCAGTGTAACGGTTATACAACATTATTTTTGTTATTCGATTTGACGGTATTGTTTTTTTTTTTTTAGGCTGTTGCCAGTTGTGAAAAATCCGTTAAGACGGCTAATTTATCACTAAACTTATGCAAGAAGCGTTTAACGTTCACCCCGAGGACTGCTGACCAGATTCCCAAGTTACATATTCTCTCGGAGCCACTCAGTTGTGGCATATGTTTGTACAGCACTAAAGTCCGATCGAATCTTGTAAAGCATCTCGAAAGTCACGATAAATGCCAGGATTTTTCTAATGTAGAAATCTTGAATCCAGTTCCATCCATTGGAAATTCCACACAAACCGTTTACAATGAAAGTACCTTCAGCAAGTTCACACGAGCAATTTGTTGCTGCTGAGGTAATGAATACTAAATGTATTATTATTATTTGTCAATTACGCACAATGCTCATAAATTGAGATAATTATCTTTCGTTACCTAAAGGGAGATCTTAAGTCGTTGCCTTTAATAATTACAGTAAGTTAAACTTACCAAGGTGGACGGGTTAAAATTCATCTTTTGATCGATAACAAAAAAACGTCTATCCAAACGTGTAGACGAACTTCTAAACCGTCAATTATAAGTTCTACATTTTCCATAACAATTATGAAATTGCACTTAAAAAGGTACCCAATGATGTGGGGAAAGTTCTATATAAAATAGACAGCTATTATAATATTAATTTCTAGATATATGAGCTGGTAAAAAATCATATAGTACTACACTGTATTTTACTCGTTGGTTTTTTTTTTAAATAGAGGAGATTATAAAAAACCTAAAAGTGATGTTATGTTCAAAGAATGAAAGTTTAAGGAAACAACTAAAGATTCCCAAAGGTTTCATACACACAGTGCAATAAATTTATGGTTTTTTAATGTATTTAAAAATTAAGATTTATATTTGAAAGAAAATATACTCAGTTACGCAAAGATTTATGATTTTAAAACGGGTTGTTATAATTTTGAAATCATGTAGGTCTTTTTTATGTTAACCAAGAGTGAAAAAAATTTCTGATACGCAAACATAAAAATAATGTTTAGTAAGATTTGGCGTGAGACGACAAAAAAAAAAAAAAAAATTTAATAGTTTATTGTTTTCCACTCGACATAGTCTTAAAGCCAAATTAAGATTTCAAAGCCCCGCATTTGTTGGTTATTAATTTTTAATTTTAAACGGTCCTGTAATTATTTTATGTTCAAACATTTAATTTGCTTTTCCAGTCTCTTATTTGTGTATTGAAATCGACATAAAATTAAATCACTTATAGATTTATCGACGTTACGAGTTACTTGTTTTTTTTTTAATTTCATAATTGTGAAGGCGGCTGTTGGTTTGGTAATAATTACTGAAAAATTTGTATGTAACTTATTGCTTAGACCCAGACCGAGATGGATATGAAAAACTGTGTTGAAATATCGCTGCCGGTGAACTTAAAACACGAGTCCTATCCGGAGTATCCAAAATTTGTCAAAATACCGGCTCGATACATGTGCCCCGTTCGAAATTGTACTTTCACCGGTGCTAATTTGAAAATGTTCACGGACCACTTGGCAGTGAAGCACGTTGATTGCAGTTATTTTACGTGAGTATACTATTATATATAAAAAAACGGGTTGTTAAAAATGTTTATAGTGTAACCAGATATATAATATATATATAAACGTATATGCCTCCTAGATGTCCGCATTGCCCGCGGGATTCCAACCATAAAATCAGTCTAAACGAGATGGGCAACCATCTTACGTACCACGGCAACAGCTTGTACCGTTGCTATTATTGTCCGTACATACACTACTTCAGCACCCAAGTCAAGTTGCATTTAAAAAATGAACATTTGTGTCGGACCCCGAAAGAACGTCTGTCCAGCTTTATCGTGATCAGAGGAAAAGCCAAATCGGATAACCGTCAGGGTAATGTTTTCGTTGTACTAACTCTATCATTGCACGAGGTCTGTTTTTATACAAATTTTAGACCAAAATAGTCGATCCACAAAATAGTGGATGGTCCAATTTCGATTATGTAAAAAGATTCGAGTTCTTTGGCTACTTTACTATGTTGTGTAGGAAACCGATTTTCATTTTGCAAATTGCAATTTCTTGTAATTAAATAAATACATTTTACAATTTTCGCAGCATTACTGAATCGACCTCATAGTGCGAAGCGTCAAACGTAAAAAAAAATACAAGCCTCTTTCCATTTCCTCAAAAGCAGTGATACTATTCGCAATGTGACCCGCGAAGTGAAAATTAAAAATGTTTCTCATAATATATTTTATACCTTTATAGAGCTGTCGTCGACCATCAGATGGACTTGCAATATTTGTAATACTCACATGTTAGCGTCCCAGCAAGAAATCGAAGAACACAACGCTCGTGTACACGCCTTGACGAAAACTTACTCATGTTCCGTGTGTTTCTTTGGACACGACAACCCGGAAACGTTGAAGGAACATTTTAATGCAAAACACCCTTTGTTGAATGTGGAATACTTCCAAACATATAGACAAGTAAGCGTGAACGACGGTCTGCCACGAATGAACCTAACTAATTTTCTAGTCGCTAAATAAAAAAATTGGCCATTTAGTTCCCGTAGAGAAATAGTAAGAACTAGAGAACCATAGATTTCACCTTAAAATAATTACACATCACATTTAAAATGGTTTCTAGATCAATATTTGTCATCGTATCCTTAACCCCTTAATAAATAGATCCCCTTGGAATGATTCGCCCTGTGTTCAAAATCCTGACGTCATTTGTCATAGCCGCTATTTATTAAAAAGTTAAACTTATGATCTCAATTTAAATGTTAAACTGTGCTGTGTAATTGTTTTCTTTAGTTCAGTAATTAGGAACCTGTTCAGGTAGTTAATTCGTTTTTTGGACTACCGCACCAAACCTGACAACGATTTAAAAATTTGATTTTTCATCTAAACATGTTCACGCGAAACAGAAAAATGTTCCCTTCAAAGTGATTTTAGATATTAAACACTTATATTGGAACTTTGTATGCATTATCTCAAATGCTAGGCCTGTATGATAAATGCAAAAATAATATTTTTTTATCGATTTTAAATCTTTGTAGTTTTTTTCCCGATTGATATTTTGAAAAACGCATACGAGGTTCCTTTGGAAATTTTGTCCTTTATTTTTTTCTTTTCGTCGTTGGCGTTTTATCTCTAAAATCACTTCAAAGGTTACTACTTTTTATCTGATCAGCGTAAACGTGTTTGTACCATTGAAAATCACCGATAAGACATGGCAATTAATAAGGTAAAATATTTTTCTTTGTGTTCAGTCGGAGCCGGCGACCGTTGCATTAAAAAGGCCCGTGGAATCGCCTATCGACATACCGGCGAAGAAGGTCCATCGCAAATCGGTTCAAACAGACAATTTCGACAAAAACGCCAGCCTGGGAACAATCAAATCGAACGGCCATTACTTGTGTCCCAAATGCAACGAGTCCCACACCGAAGACGTTGGTCGGTTCAAAGAGCACGTGTACCAAGAAATCGATTACAAAACGTAAGAGAGACACGCGAAATCCATTAATTTTTTAATCATCTCATCCGAGAGTGGTTCGCTTTAAAGCGGTCTCTGTATGCGAAATATTAATGTTATCTAGTCGGTAAAAATTGTACGATTTACAGGAATTACCCAAGTCGTGGGTTTCGCTTTACAGGCCAATGAGACAATACTAAAACCACCCTATTCATACTTATTAATATTAGGAAATATAACATTTATTATTAGCGTTGTAAAACAATAATGTCCCGCTTACAATTTTGCCAATTGGAAGTTTAAATTTGTTCGCATATTACATGTTGAATAAATAAAATATAGAAACAGAAAATTGGGGTGAACTCTGTAAAATACACAAACCTAGCTGCCCACGAATTATTATTATCGGCTGTAACCAATTAATTGGTAAACTAAAACTAAAATAGTATACATTTTTAAAAAATGGTTTTTTCATATTTTTAGAGTTAATTATTGCTCGCTAATATTTTCCCATTGTTTACTGTTTATGGACAATTTGTACTTTTCCTTGCATAGATTCCCCAATTACAATTTTTTTGTAATACATTACAATGCTGCAACACTTTTACGTTATATTTTAAAAACATTTAATTTCTTTGCGAGGATGGGAAACTCGAAGAAGGCCCTCTTTGATTTTCTAAATGAAATATATTTGTTTTAATTTTTAAGAAAAAAGGGTACACAGAACAAAAGGAAAATATGAAAATTATCCAAAAGGACAATTAAAATGATTAGTTAGGTTAGTATAGATCATATAATGTGTTAAATAAAGCTGTAACACCATTTATAATGCCTTGTACTCGGCAACGAAGTAATCAAGAAGACGACCGACAGTGTGGCCACTTTTAACAAAAAAAAATATTTTCATTATGTTTTACTTAATGCCAACCATTCGGTGTTTGTACAGACAGTGGAAGCGTACGGGATGTGGTGAGATTTCGGATTCGCTCAAGGATTTGAATTGTTGGGACAACCACCATGGAACGGGAGACACTTATAAACTGGTCGAAGACGATCAGCACAAATTCAATTGGGTAGGACTGATTTTAATTGGTTTTAAAATGTAAAAAAAAAAATGTTGTCTTTTTACAGGTTCAACCGGTTGTCAAATATCAGAGGAGGTCGTTGAGAATGTTAAACAGAAAAGCGCAGTTAAAAGAAAACGACCAAGAGAACAAAGTGTTGATCAACGAAAATTATGCGTTGGCGTTTGAAGATGCAAGTGATATTGATATAGAACAATATAACAATAAATAAATATATACTATTTTAACTTAAAGTGATAAAGTCACTTTGAAACTAACGCTTCGATGCGAATTTGCTGTATTGGCGGTAAGATTACAAAAACCTATAAAAGAGCATTGTGTGTAAAGTACTTAAGGTTAGGTGGGTACGATTAAGGTTGAAAATTTCTCATCATCTCTTCAGTGGTTTGTAATAATATCAGGTTTAAGAGATACCACTCGGTCTATTTATAAAATATACTTCACAACATTTAAATTTAGAACTTGAACTATAGTATATACTTAATAATAGTAAGTAATGAGCATACTTTGTTGATTGCCATTTTTGTCAGACTATCACTGTCATTTCTATAGGATAATATACACTTTTCCCCCATCAAAACTGCGCGGTATAAAAGAATGCAAGGCCAGTGTTAACTGTAAATTTACCAAATTACCAGATTGTAGAGAGAAGAACTTTATCAATGGGATAGTGGATTTTTTTGTTTTTGATATCTATACTTAATATTTTTTTATAAACAAAGGAAAAAAAAATGTTCACTAATAAATAATTTTGATTGTGCTTAAGTTGTTAAAAAACGCTAATCCAAAGATTAAGTTCTTCTCTATGTATTGTAAAAATTGTGTACAGTCACTGTGTACAATTAAATTAAAGGTGGGTATCGTCCTCTTAAGCTGTTATTATTTTTCGATATTTTAGAATAGTTAAAGCAAAATGTTTTGTTAAAAAAATAAAAATCTATTTTGTTAAAAAAAATAGAGCCTTTGTGGGTTATAGAAATTGAAAAATAATAGGAGAAAAAATAAACACAATAATAGACCCCTCTTTCCTGTGTTAATCCATTGAACAAATTAACAAATTTAAGCATAAATGTTGAGTTTTAGTTAAAATACAATGCCCCTTAATATTATATAAGACTACATACCCAAATACCCGTTGGTAAAAACAACACCTTCTCAGCTATACGCATCGAAGCCAAAAAAATAATTAAATAAAAACAATATTATTTGAAATAATATGTTGACAATGTAAAAACCGTTATTGTGTTTTCAGATGTTGCGGTCAAATCAAAATGATGATAACCGATTTTGGAACAAACCCTAAAGTCGTGTTAAAGAAGTACCGGACTAGAAATTAATATATATATATATATATATTTTTTTTTTTTACCAAAAATGTATGTACACCGATTGAAAAATATTGTGATCTCTTTAAATTTGTCTATTTCCCATTTATATTTACGAGCCCTTCTTGACATTTCTCTAATTAGAGAATTATTCCCATTATGTTATCACTCTTTACTAATTTATATGAATTTTTTTCTTTTATGATGTATTTTTTTTTTTTTTAATTCAATTTTACCTGTTTTTGCATGTTGCTTTATCAATGACACGATTATCTATTTTTTAGTACATTTCGAGTGGAAATAAATTGTTAAAAAGTCTATATATTTTGTATTATGATAAAAATTATTTATATTATAACTATCATGTCCATACAATTTTATTATGTCTATCAACTTAACAAGTTGTAAAATATTGACACTATATAAAACATTTATATTCAATGTTTTTTTTTTGGATTGGTGTTATATCTCTTATTAATATACTACAGCAATATTAATTTATACTACAGATTTATTTATTTTTTTTGTTAAAATTGTATAAAAGTTTACAATAATTATGTTAAAGTTTTTCCACTTCAAGTTGAAGTAGTTGTTTTAATTTACTTGTTCTTAATAATATCTTATTAATGCACAGTCGAGATATTAGTTAATATTACAGACTTTTTTTATGTTAAAATTGTATAAAAGTTTACAATTTATGTTTAAGTTTTTCTACTTCAAGTTGAAGTGTTTGTTGTTTGTTGTTTTATTATAAATGTTTTTAAACAGTTTTGTTTTCAAGAAGTTTGTCATTTTATTTTCTAATAACACTTAAGTTTGATTTTCGTTTCGTTTTTTTAGCAAAAAATATACAAAATATGTAATTAAATTCGAATGTGTTAAATTATACTATGATTGTAAGTTGCTAAAACTGTATCAGACTGTCAAATGTATACAAACATTATAATCGCTTTATTAAATAAGTTTTTAACCAAAAATATGTAAGTATATAATTTTGTTAAAATAATTTATTTAAATTTTCTACTACTACCTTTCTAATACTTTAAGTAGGTATCTAAAATTATTAAGTTGAATGATATAGTAAAATATATCTACAATGTACATGATAGGTTAACATTAGTACTAAATTATTAACGTTAATAATTTGCTGAAAATTTGCTAACTTGTCTATGACCAAATTTGAGCGATTACTTGTAAAGTCATTAAAGATTAAAATTTAGGAGTAATAAATTGTATTGTTTTAAAATTGGTTATCGAACTATCCAAATGTTCAGCTTATTATAATTATTCTTAATAGAAAATAAAAATAAGATAATAAATAAGTTGCTATTTATTAGTCTTATACGGTTTTAACGCAAAAGGGATATGGTTGTATTGTTGAAAAATATATAGCTAGAGTTGGGCTCGCCTATAAAATATAGGTAAATGGAAAATAAAAATATTAAAACAATTCTAATATCTTTTAAGTTAATTTAAGGATAGATATGACTAAATGCGGTTCCGTTGAGTAACAATGCGTATATAATAAAAATTTAGAGTTAAACCACTTTTTCAATTAACGACCCAATCTTGTAAAGACATACAGAGTTGTGTTTGGCCACTTGACTAGGTTGTGTAGGAAACAGATTTTGGATTTTTTTTCTTTTATTTAATTACAAGATAATGCAATTTTACAATGAAAATTTACATCCTATGCATAGCATATTAAACTAGCTAAGGAACTCGAAGCCCTTTGCAGAATAGAAATTGTTGTGTCTGGCCAGTTGGTCTAAAACAAATCAAAATGGCTTCTTCCCATAGAAAAAGTTACTTAAATCAAAAATAATACCTCCAATCTTATACAAATCAATCGATTCGAAAAAAATCAGGATAATTTTTCCAAATATGCCTTGACAAGTGTACTTACCCTTTTTTATATTTTTGTAATATTATTTATACGCCCAAATTTGTACTGAGCGAAACATAAATAAATACAACATAGGTAAATAAATTTTTTTTTTTCATACTATAATATATTTCTATATAAAGACATCATACACGTATATTAATGTGTATACGCATATTTATATTATATTTTTGTATTTTTTAATATTTTTTTTTTCATCATCTCGTTAAACAATAATAATAATAATAATAATAATAATAATAATAATATAATAATATATAATAATAATAATAATAATAATAATATATAATAATAATAATAAGCGATAATAATTAATAACAATAATAATAACACGGAGCACCTTTTTCTAAGTAAAAAAAAAAAAAATAATAATAATAATAATAAACACAAAAAAAAATTACACAAATAATAATATTATTACATTCGACGGGTTTACTTTTTTTTTTATTTACCTATTGGAGAAAAAGGGAAGAGGACGAACAGATAACATATACATATATATATACTAATATGTAGGTATAAGTATAATATAAATTAAATTAAACGTTATTTATTTATATATATATAATATATTTTACTACAAATTATATATATATTTTTTTAATTTTATCTATAAATTACTATTAATATATATATATATATATATATATATTTAAAACGAGAACGAGATAAAATATACATTAATAATATTATGTGCGCGCGTGTGAGACCTCCTAAAATATAATATTATGTTATACATAATGTATTATTTTTTTTTATGCTGCACCTAATATTTAAAAAACATAATAATATATATATATATAAATATTTTAATTTTTACACACTAGTCTAACTAATTATTTTTTCACTTTACTTTGCAGAGGCGATTATAAGAAAACCGGTCGGTAACGGTTGCAAGACAACCTGTGCAAAAATGTAAGTGCAAAATACTTTAAGTGTCATAATGATAATTTTTGATAATATTGATAATAATAATGATTTTTTTTTTAATTTCCACAAAGCAATATCGACAATACGATTTAATCGATATTGTACCTACCTAATAGATTTTTATAATATCAAATCAAATGCACCTACTAAAAACAATCGTTTAACAATAATAATTATCATAGTATATATATTGTAATATTATAATAATAATAATACTATTATCGTTGCGCTATTACTATGCGACTTTTGGGTCTATTTTAGATGGGAAAAAACGCCAAGAAAGCTTTATTTAAAGTTATTTTGGTAAAAAAACCATTTACATTTACATTTTTCTCCATGAAAAGGGTATAAAAATCTTTTTTCACAACCGTCACCGCCGTCGCACCCTTTTTAGAAATGTCAGACAAGTCGCTATCATATTTTTTTTTATATAAATATATATATATATTATTTTACTCTAATCGATTATAATCGATCATAATCGTTTTGTACGTCGTTAACAATTTTTTTTTTTTTGTATACACACAATTATTATATTATAGTAAATATAAAATAATATAATATATATTATTATATGTATACTCTTACAATATAATATATTATTATTACATTTTAAGTATTACTAACAATATTAAAAAAAAAAAACACGTTATTTTACTAGGTATTATTTTAGAAAAAAAAAGTCACACACACATATTATCATATACACAACACACACACACATACATATAATATACATATATAACATATTATATATATATTAGGTACTCGAGACTTTTTTCATTAAAAAAAAAAATTCTAAAAAAAATTAAAAGTAATTTCCTCATAGAAAAACAGCTGTTGTGTTGTATACAAATTTCTACAACCATAATATTTTTATGATAATATAATTTATTATGTTTATGAAATAGTGTTTTAATTTGTTATTTATTATTAGACGGGCTTTGTTTTTTAAATTTTATTTATTACATTTAATTTTTTTCTTTTTTCACAACATTACAAAAATCAAATAACTCAAGTGTTGGGCTACAATTTATATTTGCACATCTATACAATATATATAATGTATCTATAAATGTTACATACAACAAACGGTCTCGACTATATTATTGTAATTTTTTTTTTCTGAAATATTGTTTTAGACAAAATGTTTGGTCTACGCTTTAAACGTTTTTTGGTGAAATTAATTTTGTTTTTCTTATGTGTGTGTTTTTTTAAGGTGACCCAGAATAGAAAATCGTACCTAGAACCGTTTTGATAGTATCGAATTATTATTTTTAGATATATACTTTTTTACTTTAACAATTATTCTCCATCCTCCTCTCTACTCGTTCTGCCTTATCCTTCAGAAGAAGAAAAATACATTTTATACATTTTGTTTCCTCGAAGGTTATTTTCAAAGTTGACATATTGCACATAACCGAAAAAAAAACACACACAATGACAAACAAAACGATTTTAGTACGACCTCTTTTTCCATCCAAACAAAAGACAATCATAACAAACTTTATTTTTTTGAATTTATTTATCCGATCTGGTTTCAAAATTATCATACTAGTGTTAGGTATTAAAGATCACGTTTTTTTTTAAATATATATATAATTACATCCGACGTTTGTTAACGTTATTTTTTAAATTATTATTATTATTATTTTTTATATCTATTGGCGCCAAATAGGCAGTAGGAGGGTGTACCGCGACGATCCGACAGATTCACACACATTTTTCCAATTTTGTAATATTATAATATAAAAAAATCTATTGGATCATCGCCATACACGACCTGTGAGTATATTTTTTTTAAATATATATATTATATATATGTTTGTCATATTTACTATATTGTGTACATAATAATAATATTATTTACAAAATAAAAGAGAAACGTGCAGGTTTTACAACGATTATAACATTAATAATAATAATAATTTAAAGAAACTAAAAAAATGTATTCTTATTTTTTAATATTAAAATAATGATAATAGATAATAATATAAAGACGCTCGTTTATATTACCTATGTATATATATATATATTACTATGTTATAATATATTTTTTACGCTAAAAAAATTTACCTAATCATATTTTCTAATAATTATTTTATTATATTATATTTTTATACACGAAAAATAGGCGTACGGACTAAAGACAAAAAAAAAATTAAAAATGTAACGGGCGCAAAACAACAATTTTTTTTTTTAACAACAACAACAACGACGTTAATATATTATAATATATTAGATAATAAAATATTATAATAAAACAAATACACACACACTCACATACATACACACAAAAAAAAACCTTTCAAAAAACAAAAATAAATGAAAAAAAAACCTTTTAGTCAAGACGTTTGTTTTTTTTTTCACCGTCCAAACCGTTCAAACAAACCGACGAGCAAAAAAATCATCTTACACTATCATCGTTTATATGATAACATTCTATGCAAATTTTTTTTTTTCCATTTCATTTTACTCATTCTTCTGTAAAAATAACAAACAAACAAAACCGTCGCGCCCGAACTATCTTTCTATATATATATATATACAATATATAATATAATATTATTGTTTTATAATTATTACACAAATCGGCGTTGCCTAAACGCGCATCTCTATCTATGAACGACTGTGTCGATACCGATCGCGTCGTCCGTACACGAACATTAATAATAATATGTTATCATAAAAAAAAATTATTATAGTTAAATTATTTTGTAATTTTTTTTTTTTAATATACTTTTTTTCCCCCTAAAGCTAAACGCGTGAATGAGTGAGTTTGCGTGTGTGGGCGTGCACGTGTGTCATGTGTGTGTTGTACTTTTTATTATTATTATTTTAATAAAAAACAACAAAGCGTATTGTGCACTATGTGTAGGCATATACTATAATATATTGTAAAGACTAAGTTTACCTAATTACAGACACACACACACACACGTCCAGACACGCGAGCACACGCGCCTTATGATATTTTTTTAATGTTAAACATTTATAAACTAGATAAGATAGATTTTTTGTGTACACCGTTTGTCTACATAAACGTCTAAGATATTGCGCTTGGGAGACTATATAAAATGATAATAACATTAACGGCGATCGTTATTGTTATTATTATTTTGTTGGTTTTTTTTTTCAATCGTCTCGTCTCTCGGTCGTTTAACTGTCCACGGAAAACAGCTCTTTGTGCAAAGCCGGGAACTCCAAATGCGGGGCCGATCGCTTGAGTTTGGCCAACGCTTCCATGTGCAGTTGTCCCAGTTGTCTGCAAACAAGAACAGGTGCCGTATGAATACAAAATAATATTATCGCGTGCACAAAAAATCTTTAAAGACATTTCAAAGAAAATTCCCAAGAGGACAATTAACCGATAAAATCGCCAAGGACGTCGGTCAAAGCCAGAGGTGTGAAAAACAGATCAAAAGATGCGCCAGCAATGAACGAAGACCGTCCAAGAGTGACAGACAACCGAAGAGCGCGCCGTCTGGCTACAAAAGGTTTGAACCAACTGATTGACATTACCTCAACGACGGTATCTTCTGTACGAGAGCTTCGCAAACTTGATTCTGTGGGTTGTGCAGATGTTGGGGCTGCTGTTCACCGCCGGGTCCCACGTTGTTGTTGTTGGTCCTGTGGTCGAGCTCCATTCGCAGAGCTCTGAGTATAGCTTGCCGGAGCCGGGTGATTTCCATGACGCCTTTCAGGCCTTGCCGGTCTGCGCGTTCAGAAGGTAAAAAAAAAAAACAAGCAAAGGCGAATGATGAGTACAATATATGGATATTTTGGCGAACCCCACACAACGGTAACAACCGTCGTTGTCTACTACTTACCAGGCGACAACAGGACCACGGCCGAGTAGAGAGCCAGTTCGGTTTCGGTGAGTTTCAGAGAGGCGACGGCTCGGCTTACTTCGAACGCCAACGACACCAAACGCGTTTCGATCGGGTCTTGTGTGTAGAAAGCGTCGGCCGGCAGCAAAGCGTCGGAATAGTAAACGCAGTCCCTGTGCAGGTCGTAGTGTCTGGACATCCTCAGCACGGCCAACTCGAAGCTTCCTGTGTGGGACAAACAACAAGAACGTTAGACTCGAGCCAGCAAAAAAAGAAGCTACTGAACCTTGGAGCTTGGCAAACCTCTAAGACCCCGAGGAGATTCTCTTTTGAATCCTTTTGCGCTTACCTGCTTTGAGCAAAACGATCTGGTCGTCTTGCGACAGCTTCATGAAGCCCGGCACCATCTTGGCGAACTCGATTATCTGCTGGATGACCGCCGTCAGTTTCTGTGCGCATTCCAACCACAATTCTTCGTGGGCCTAAACAAAACCAACCGAATCATCAACATTAGTGGAATTTTACACCAACGCCTAGGGCTGACACAAAAGCATCTTTCAATCGATAGCCGTTCGAGCTTATGCTCAGAATCCAAACTTTCGGATTAACGCACCACTATATCTTGACCTACGTTATTGCTATAAAGTGCATTTGCTTCGGCCCGGAATTCCCCTTGAGATACACCCGAGACCGGAAAATTAATAATATCGAAAAGCTTTTAGAGAAAATAACATATTATTCTGTCAGTATAGTAATTGGACCGCGTCCAATGAATAAATTTTAGAGATTTCTTTCCCACCCCCTCCCGTTTTCAAAGCCAATATCCTATATTGCGAGCCCTTGTCTTACCGACCAATCCCTCGGGACTTATCGCCGAGTGTACTCAACTCGAAAGAGTTCAAAGAGAAAGCGTTCGTTGCCCCCTCGGCCATTCGCCTGCTATTTATCATCGAAACTTTGGCCGGCGATAAAAATCCTGAGAACACCAATTCTGTTACAGCTTTGATCCAGTCATAAATAGTCCTCCGCCCCTACCACCGCAGCCTTTGATGTCACTATTTTGTTTTTCTTAATATTATAGCCTCTCGTTTCCCTTAGAGAGGTTAGGGACTGTATTGTATTGTTGTGTGCGTACTGAATTGGCCAACTCAACCGATGTGAAATATAAACACAAAACCTGTTGTCGACCTTTCGCCCCGTTAATCGATTTGGCGGGCAATTGACATGATGACAATGTGATTATGATATAATTTTAATCAACCTATTTTCGAGTCGCGTTAAGAGCTGTTTACCGATTAATGACGCGGTTGGAATTGATGGGATGTTGTCTAACTAAACGACAGGTCGTAGAACTCGTTTTGAAATCCGATACCCACGTATATTATAGTATATCATCGGCCGATTACTTTGGGTAAAGTCTTGCAGTAGCCGCACCCCCAAAAACAACATGTAAACTTAACCGGGAAAAATAGATAACCAATATAGTATTCAATTAGTGATGATTAGGAATTGTTGTCATTTTCGTTAACTAAAACGGAAAGAGTTTTAGGGAATATATAAAGAAGATCTCGTTTTATTGAAAACTATTGGAGAGCAGCGAATTTAAAGAAAATGCGGTAAGCTTAAAATGTTGAACGGACAAGAGGTGTTAGAACTTGAGTGAGTCTAAAAATGTGTGAGTTCAGATTGAGAGAGTGTGACGAAAGTTGCTGAAATGAGAATCCCAAGCTGGGCGTAATGACTCTAGACTAGACAGAATTAGAAATGAATGTATAAGAGCGCTGTTGAGAGTTAGCATATTATCATATTTTAGATGTCTCGAGCAAGTGATTTTTTATTAGTGGTTTCTAAGCACTGAAAAAAACCCAACCACTCGGATGAACAGCCAGCGATGCCGGACAACCCGAATGAATATTCATGATGCGCAATAACCGTACATATATTACAGATTCGTACACGTCTTGAATTTCTTTATCATTAATTTCCATACACATCTCAATTATTACATTCGAGGGGGGAACTGTCGTATAATCAGCCAATTTTTACTTGACAAAAAGTCACTGAACTCTCGGTACACGGAAAGCTAATTTGTTTAACCTAACCTCTAACTTTATGGATTCTACATTCAAAAACTATCTGCTAGACATCTAAACGGTAACTTTCGACGGGGAAGCTATTGGCATTCAGTTGCCACCGCCCAGCTATTCTCGGGGTAGTCCTATTGGCTTCCTTATCTGAACTTGCCAGCTTTCAAGTGCTATGGTCGGGTCTCGAGGCTTCCACGAGGTGCCCTTGGCGGGGTTTGTCATGGCTTCCCAATGGGACCAGACTGGACTAGGGCTATCACGAGTTCTACTCCCGCAGACCCGTTCTTACCATTGTCTTGTAGAAGTGTAACTTGTCGTTAGCATTGTTGCCGCCGGCGTTCTTGTTGTTGGCCATTGCCATGGCAGTGCGGTACATGCCGTCGTGGATCTGGTCCAGTGTGTAGAAACACGTGCGGGCATGGGCATCGGCTATGGTTTTGCTCAGCAATTCGCTGATCTGCACGGCGTCTGTTGATCCAACAAAAAAAAAAAAAACACATTATTAATCAAATGCACAATAAATAACATCACACCGTAATCGCAGGTCCAGAGTGTCAGTCAATATTTACACATTATTTTTGTTATATCACCGTTATTATTGCATATTATTTGGCCATCCGGTGACGAATGCCGTGTACACACCGTATCCCTCCGGTCGTTTTGTGACCCCAAGTGAATAACACTGTACAAAAAAAAACACCTCTACACCTTACGTCACAAGCGCGATTCTACAGTGAAAATATGTGATTGCAGTTGTTGTACTGACAATGTATAACGACGGGGCACTAGACATTGTCACTATATTATTAGCAACGGCGGTTATACATTACTGTACAAAAAAAACGGCGCATTCGATAATTGAAAGGGCAAAGGTGCAATTGTCAAATAAAAAAACCGGACGGTTCAATTTTGTAAAAAAACCTAACACGTCCCTAAAACGATAACAATTGCACAAACGAGACTACTAGTTGGATTTTAATTGAAAAACGTTTCCTGACAAAACATTTAGCCGTCGTATTTCCAAAACTAGTGTATGCGATGAAAATCCTATTATTCTAATTGAAAAGTATTATACTTTAAGTGTGTTTAGGCGATGCTTTTTTTTTCGCAAACCTCCGAACCGTTTAATAACTTAACGCTATTCGCAAAAGTGAATTGGTGCGAATTTTTTTTTTTGTAATTAAAAAACCTATCCGAAATAATGTCGGTCGTCACGAACGCTAGCTAGACAACGCGTTTAAAACTAGACACGAAGCAAATATTATTAATTTCTATTACATATGTATGAGAGTACACGCACAGTACCGAGTAGTGTGTGCAAATAATATTGTAAACGCAGCATTGGAAATCCAAAAATAGGACCGTGTTTATAGTTTTTTTATTTTTTTTATTAGCCGGCGACAAACCGATCGTACCAGTCGAAAGTATAATATAGAAACGTTTTAGAAGGAAAATAAAATCCACATTAACCGTCGTTCAGTATAGGGTGAGAAGTGTGAACAAATTGAAAAATAATAATTTTAATCGCTTTTCCGTCAAGTTTGCGGACCTGCTGCTGAATCACACGGGTCGTTTACTCTGAGCTCGGACGAAATTGGATATTCTGAATTTTGAAAACCCTCGGGGCAATTGGGAAAACCCCGGGCAATCCAAAATAACAAAACCATATAACGCGTTTACTCACAATACCGAGTACTATTAAGTAGGCCAAAAAAACAATATATATATATATATATATAAATATATTTTTTGTTTTTTCGTTTTGAGTATACACTTAGAGAGGTATCGGTAGTGTACAAATACTATAAAAACAATAATATCTTATCTTGAGTTTTTTAACCCGCAAACGAACCAGATTCTTCTACTCTAGTGCCACGTGCGAGTGTATTTTTTTTTTTTTTGATTATCCTTAAACTGTGCGCAATAAAATAATATAGTCATCGATAATTTTGTACTCGACAATCGGATAACCAGCAAAAAAAAACAATAATTTTCAAAACAACAGTTTTCAAAAAAAAACAAAATCACAATACGCAAAACGATGATTTTTTTCCAAAGAACTAAAAAAAAAAAATGTTTCGAGTTAAAATTTAGTTTTTTTTTATTTATATATATGTATAAATATTATATTACTATTTTTTAATTATTTGGGACATTTTTAAAATTTAACTAAACGCGGTTAATTTTAAAGTAGTTTTATCAGATTTTTTTTAGGTCATCGGCTGTCTAGATTTAATATCACACAGCTTTACAACATCTTCCTCGCCTTTTCAGGAGACTCTAAAAGAGCTTTAAATAAGTGGAAAGAGGTTGGTCTTTTGTTAACGGACGTTTTATACAAAACATTTAGTAGTGAGTAGTGTTCGGGTTATCATTTTTTCTCTCTCTGCTTAGGTTAGACTTGGATTAGATAGGATAAGGTTAGGTTAGGTTTTGGATACATTTAGATTAGATAGATAAGGTCAGGTTAGGTTTAGGTTACATTTGGAGTAGATAGGATAAAGTCAGGTTAGGTTTGGATTATATAGTAAAGGTTAGGTTAGATAGTCATGGTTAGATAAGATTCATGTTAGGTTTTGACAAGATAGTTAAGGTTGGATTAGATTCCGGTTAGATTCAAGTTAGATTTAGATTCGTTAAGGTAGGCAAAAGCTTTATCTATTTGAGGCGCCTAGAACGCAAGTAGTACAAGTGACGTTCATACAAAATCCGAGTCAAGTCCACAGCTAGTTTACAAATTGTCCATTTTATTTGGCGGTAAAGATATTATATACAAGTGCAAATCATATTCTGGTCAGGTGACACTGCCGAGAGCCTTCCTATTCATACATTATTGTCGCTGTATCTTTGTCATCAGACTTGCTGATTATACTTATATTTTGTATGGATTGTAAATAAAGAAAATATTTTAATAAAAAAAAAAAAAAAGTGCAAATCACACACCTAAAGTTAATGTCACTTCTCATACCCCTCGTAGGCGCCTCGTTTAGGATTGGATTTTCATTAGACAGTTCGGGTTAGATAAGATTCATGTTGGGTTTGTATTGGATTTCGGTCAGAGTCGAGTTTAGGGCAATTATTGTTGGTTTTTTCCCATCCGCTTTAACCTAACTTGGCTCGACCATTGGATATTGTTATCGGTTCAATCCAGGCTTCTCGTACGTACATATACGGCTTGTATTTTTTTCGATTTTTTTTTTCGTTAATACTTAATGCGGCCTATCGATTGATATGTTATTACACGGCGTAGGTATATTACATAATAATAATCGCATGGCGGCGTTTTCTAAAACGTGTTGCGAACAGATGTCTGCCGTATTTGTTTAAACGGTAACACGGTCGGTTGTTATTGTGTACAGTAATCGTCGTCGGGTTTTTTTGGGCTCCCGTTTTGGAATGTGTTCAACATGATATATAATATACATTTTATTCGAGACTGGCTCTGGGTAGAGCAGCTCACTTAAACGAGCTTTGCCGGTAGTGGAAAACGGTGTAAAGCGTTTACAAATGTATATTATTGTTATTAATTTTTTTCCAAGTATAATATGCACAGCACAAACGGCGTGCTAACCGAACGCACGCAGGAAATAGTTCATCAAAAGCGGACCTACAACAATGTGTGAACGGTCCCGTCTTGGCCTCCAATTGTAATATTGTTTTGGTCCGCCGGTGCAACCTATAGATTAGAATATATGGCTGCGAAAAGAAGACAAGTCCACCTTTTTTCTTCTTCTAATCGAATAACAATAAAGATAAGGATTTTTCGATGATTTGGCGTTTTCGTTTATTTTAAATAATTAGCTAAAAAAAAGTACAAATCTGTCAAGGACGTCCGACTTAAACTTTGTAAACGTGTACCCTTGGTAATAGTAAAAACTACATTTTTTATTTATTTTTTAACATATAAGACAACCAGCAAAATATGTGCTATTCTTATCGTTTGTCACGGTAAAAGCTGTTCAGATTCGCCAAATAGATTTTAGAACTAAATCGTTGCATTAAAAAAAAATAACAATAACAATTGATCTTTTGCTGGCAATTATTGAGGTTATGATGTCTAAACAATAAGAATTATTATGTTATCTGACCGAGCTTTGGCCCAAGTGGGTAGGCTTAATAGGTTAATTTCCACAAATTGAATGAAAAAAGCCTATCTATCCGATTCAATTATAAACGTACCTTGTACTCTTTTTGCAGAAAAAAAAATGCTATACAACGGTAATAATAGCAACAAATAACGTTGATTTAATTGCAAAGGAATTTGGAACGGAAATGTGCGAAATAAAATACATTATCAGCATTTTGCACGACGGAAAAGTCTAACCGGGAATAAAAAGAAGACCATCATCAATCAAGACGTTGATCTACAAACCAGAAGGTACACTCGGTATGTTTCTTATGGCAGCAATTAGGTGGCTTCGATAAGGAGTAGTGCACACTATCTGTGGAGGTTTTATCCGATCCGTGTGAAGTCGTCGCATGCTTATTACATATTATACAACTTACTGGGGTTCCACGATGAAAATATTTGCCAACTTGACACACCCACCCGTGTGCCAGTGTGCTACGGTATGGCCGCACGGACGAGCGCGCCTATTTTTATAATAATATTTAAATAATTCCGCCGAAAAGTTTTCATTAAAGAAACCGTTCGATATTCGGCCGACACGTTCTAATTATAAACCCGGAGCCAAATATCTAGCGGATGGCCGACTAGTGAGTCACAAGCTGTGCAAACACACCGCGTATCAACCCGGTTATAATATATTATAATGTATAAAAAAAAAAAATAGTAGTTCTATTGCATAGTTTTATTCGGCGAATTGGGGGAATGATGACGAGTCGAATAATTGAAATGAATGAAGTGTTCAAGTGGGAAAATTGATTGAATAATAATTGATTTTTACTAATTTGTGTATTTGGCCGGATGAATAATGAAGTAAACGTTATATTGAATAATTTGTGAGTAAACAACAATCCGTCAATTATAGTCAAACCTTATATTGTTCGGTAGGTAGTCATTGTTTGTCGTTTTATTATTTATCTACCGTTAAACGATTAAAAAACGGACTAGACTGTGTTGACTTTAGGAGGTGTAATTTGAATTTGAATTTATTATTTTTTTTTGAAATAATTTATGATTTTAGTTGAGTTAAATTATTAATTTTATCCGAAATAAAACAGCAAATATTTTTTTGCAACTTTTTAAAGGTTAGATTTTTAACCTATTTTTGATATTAACCTAAACGTTGTGTGTACTTGACTGACAACAGCTGCTGTTATTGGGATTCGCTGGAATGTGTACTCACCGGAAGTGACAGTGACGGACGCCGAGACGCCAGCGTTGTTGGCGATCATACCGGCTTCCGGTGGCCCGGCGCCGGCCGCGGCCACCGAAGACACTTCCATGCTGCCACCGCCCACCAAGGGGTCGCCGTACGTGGACGTGGCCGACGATGGGGTCGTGCTGGACGCGGAACCACCGCCCGCCGCCGGGGTAGTGCTGTCGGCCACGTAGTTGCTGCCGCTCGTGTCGTACGGCGGTGGCACGTTGCCGCCACCGCCGCCGTTGGCCGCGGCGGCCGTCGACGTGGCCGCCGCTGCCGCGTACGCGTTGAATGTGTCCACCAGGGCGGCTGCCGCGGCGCTGTTGTTGACGCCGGCCGCGTTGCCGCCGTTGTATCCGTTATATCTGCAAAACGGCACGCGTTAAGTACGCGTTTCCCTTTGTCCCCTAGATCGTCGTCGATCATTGATCGTTATGTTATCGATTGCGCCCCATACTCACCCTCCAGTTCCGCCGGCCGATCCTCCGGTGCCTCCGTTGACGGCTGCCGCCGCGGCGGCTGCGGCTGCGGCAGCGGCGGCCGCGGCGTACGCCACGTTGCCGGTACCGTTGAACTGGTTGAGACTGAGATGGTGCTGTTGCTGTTGGTGGTGCTGGTGTTGATGCTGAGTGAGATGCGTGTGGTGGTGTTGCTGATGATGGTGCTGCATGTGGCCGGCCAGGCCACCACCGTGGTCGGCCGTGCTGGACGGCATCTGCGACGGTTGCTGCTGCTGCTGTTGATCGTGGTCGAACACGGACGAGTCGGCGGCCACGGCGGCCGTACCGCCACCACCGCCGCCGCCGCCACCCAGCGTGGTCGTCGAACAACAGTCGGCTGCGGCCACCGACACGGCCGCCGCTGCGGCCGCGGCTGCAGCCGCCGAGGATTGCATATGGAACCGCACCTCGTCCTCCACTTTTTCTCTTTGTTTCTTAGACATGCGTCCGAATTTGACGGCTGTGGACAAAAACAAAAACGCACTTAAGCAATTGGGAAATTAAAAAAACTATATATATCTCATACAAGAGGAGAGGTTTGGGTGTTTTTAATTGAAGTGTCGAGTGGACAAAGGCGTTAACTGACATTTGTAGTGCGAATAGCTTTTAATTTGAACGAACGGAAAGTTTACAGGTCAGGTTAGGTTAGGTTGAAGTGGGTTTTGGTTTGCACGTGCAATTGTAAAAAATAAATAAACCGCCACTATACAGGTTCAGTCAACGACATGTTAAACGGTGTGAAACTGGGCGCTTCTAGTTTAGTGTCTTAACGCGTTGTACGACATTAGATGTTATTTGAAGGCCGACTAAAAAAAAAAAAACGTACAACGCACTTTGCCGGAAAATTAAGCAACATTCATATATATATATTTTTTTTTGTAATAATAATAATAATAATCTATAATCAACTCTCTCTTTGGACAACGTCGACTACCCACTACCTACAATGTTTATGTTTTTGAAAACTTTTTTTTTATTCTCCAAGACCGTTGCCGGTTATTAATTATTGGTCGGCAACAAAACTGACAGACAGCAGCTGGCAAAGGCTGGCCAAGACGATGGTGTTTTTAAAATATGTGATTTTCATTAAAAAAAAAAACCGACCCGATCGACGGCGATTGCTTTTGGCCATGACGTTATACAACGAGTTTACTTTATTATTATCATTATTATTATATTTACCGTGTAAGTATAGCGGTAGAGGAGGAGACGCTGCAGTAAGTTAAATACAAGTGTTACCTACTGCAAATGTACACAACAACAACAACAACAATAATAATGTATATAAAATATAATATACTTGGAGTACAAGTCGAGAATCGTAGCAAAAAAACACTTAGATTATTTTTTTACTTGGGTTTTTTTATTGTGAACATATTTCCTATGCCCCCTGTAAGTACCCCCCCGTCCCCCTGTGATCGTTTTATTTTGCCCGTAGAAATATTTCCGCCTCTCAAACCAGATTGTGTGTCTTTTGTCAGCCGAACATAATAGTAAAAATATTATTATGATTTTGGCGTGGGTCAATAATTTTCATGATCATGACGTCGTCGTGCGCCGGAGGCTTGTTGTGTGTGAAGCGAAAATCGCAGTAACACACACTATCTGGTTATTAACTTTTTGCCGGTTAGGGCACTCCAACCGACTAGAGATCAGACTATAGACCCGCGCAAATAATAATAATAATGAGATACCGGTGTAATGACCTCACTCAAGTATATAATAATATCATCGACCGATAATAGAGAGAGAACCTTAACAATCGATCCGAGTTTGATGTATACAATATTATTTTAATATAAAAAAATTATATTATTATGGCACATCTCGCCAGAACTCCAGTCGGGCTACAACTTGGGCTACAATGGCCGAGACAATAATCTCAGATCAGAAAATGGCGGTGTTTATTTCGAATGGGATTTAACGCGCGCCAAAACGAACAAATATGGCGGCAGAGGACACAATACATTGTGATTGGTCGCCCGACAATAACCGTTATGAGGTATTTTTGGGAAAAAAATTTTGCAAGCCCGGAATTCCCCGCTGAAAACGCGCGTTGGCTCGTGGGAATTACCGCGAAAAAAAAAATGTATAAGCATATTTTTTATACATTGTATACATTATTATTATATAGGTGACCCGAGTGGCCAACCCCCGGATAGGTGGTGGGTTCGTTGACTCGGCGAACGTTCACCCCGTTCCGGGCATGACAATAAATAACACAACGATGGCGGCGATATATACCTAATATGCACCGAATTATATTATATGTATATATATTGTTCGGTATAAAAAAAAAATATATATAATGTATTCAACGCGAATAAACGGAAACCCGCGGTCCGGGAAAACCCTATAGAAAACGGTCGTGCCAATGGGAAAACCGCCAACCGTGTGGGGTGGAAAAAAAACCTCAGCCGCGTTGACGAATGACTTTTAAACGGATTCACCCTCTCTCCGCGTGCCCCGGTAAGTCGGCCAAACGTCAGTTACCACCATCCCCTTCGCCACAATACCCTCTTCAAAACCCACCCCTCCCGCGGGGTAGGTCCTTTTTTTGTCGAGGGACCAGGCATTAGCAGAGTTCCCGGTGAATATATATTATGCATTCCTTATTTGAAGAGTCATGCAGAATACTCGGGCAATCAGAGGAGGCAATCAAGTGTCTCTTCTAACCCAAATCGAATCCGACCCAACCTAAGCCAAGCGGCAGATTGCCATCCTGCCGACCACCTCCAAGTGTTAATCAACAGCATAAAGGTATCCAATGGGCTTCTATGCTTTTTCCTGGCACGATTCGAGCACGCAGGTTAGGTTTTCCAAAAGCAAATTTCATTCAGGTCGTTGGACTTGCGGGAGTGTGGCGGAGAAAACGGTTCGGAAAGCGGTGTCGGTTTTTGCATGTTTCTGATGCAACATGCACACAAGACTATAAAAAAAGTGAACCGACTAACCTCGCGGATCGCCATCGAAAGTGAATTAATAATTTACAATAATTACCAATTCCGAATCAACGACCGTATGCGAAATCGCTATCGTTTATATTACATTTTATTTACTGTACTATATATGCACACTGTAACCAGTTTACAATTATTGCATAACAATGGACTCCCTTCGGAAGGGGAAAAACAGCAGCAAGCGGGGAAGGCGCTGCTCGCGGGACTGATGTAATGTCTGCCGCCAGTAATTTACAAATTGCTAATTAATTCAATTTTTTTTTTTTATATATATCTGTTCGACCTACGATAATAATCTGTATAATAAATACGATAATATTATTACAACAATAATTACCAAACGGTTAACAATGTTCATATAGATTCCGTCAATTCCGTCGCCATTATCGTGCGCGCCCAATCGTTTACTGGTAATAATGTTATTATTTTTTTTATGGTGCTTACTTTAAGCACCGCTTGCGACATTGACCTTAGAAGTACCCGCGCCGGGGCCAGACGGGGGGGGGGGGTTCAGGGAGGGTCGTAGAAATTGATAAAAAAAAACACACTAATCCGTCTCTTACCGTCTCTGGACATGCCCAGGCGAAGGCATTTCTGTAGCCGGCAGTACTGGCATCGGTTCCGGTTGACCCGGTCGACCACGCAGTTTTTGTTCCTCGGGCACTGGTAGTTCACCACGGACGACTGGGACCGCCTGAAGAACCCTTTGCACCCCTCGCAGGTGATCACGCCGTAGTGCACACCGCTTGACTTGTCGCCGCACACCTTGCACGGTATGATCTCGATTTGGGCTGTTTAAAAGGAAATAAAAAAAAAATGGTTAAAAACATTTTAAAAAAAAACATGATATTTACACATTGTTATTCTATTTTGTCAACGTCCAGAGACTCGACTGCGCCACCTTACTGATTTTGTTTTTGTTGTGCTAAATGACTCAATATAATCGAGCAGGTGCAGCAGGTTACTGATTTTAAAGTATACAGATAAGCACCTAACCTAGAAGACTAAACAAACCTAACCTATCCCAACATGTCCGTAGTGAGCACATTGATGATTTCCTTCTTTGAATTATCTAAGAAAAAAGCGGTCTCTTGATATCCGTTATCAATAGTATTGTCCTTTTGTTTCGAACATCAAACCTAATCTCCATTTGTTTCCGTTTTCGAAGTTCGGCAAAGGAAATCCCATAAGTTTTGCTAAACTCACAAACTGTGTAAAGTTGTTGCCCAAGTTCTGTGTACTATATAAGCTATCTATTGCGGTTTTGCACATAAAGTGTCGGTTCATGGATGATTACAAAAGGGTCTAAAATAATAATCTCGATTCCGAAAACTTTGGTCGAACCGAAGCACCACAAGGTCTCAACCCTTACCGTGAAGGTGTTAAATACCATCATAGCTAACGTTCTGTTAACTGAGACTATGGGAAACGTTTTTTTCAATAAAACCTAAAATACAATAGAAAATGTTCAACTGTTTTTAAAAAAGGACTGAAATTTCCTGTAACGCACTATTTTTTAGTCGAATGAAATTTCCAAGTTAAGATTAAAGATAATATTGTTAACTATGTGAAAAAATAATATGCATAATTTTAATCCGTCATTCGTTCGCCTATAAAAAAAAATTCTAAATTATAATTAAGTATATTTTCCAATATTAATGCCGGTTTGCATGAAAAATTAATTAATAAATTTAATGGTTCATTAAAATTGAATGGACCAATCACGGATAACTAAACGGTATTTAATAATGAACGGCTATGTGAATTCATTAAACCTTAAGCGAACGTTCATGCAATCCGTCATGAATATAGCAAAAAAAAAAATAATAATAACTTGTTAGGTTAACCAATTCAAATTTACTTGATTGTTTTAACATAAACCAAATTTTAACATTAACGAGTCAATGACCAGCCACGTAAGTGACTAGTAAGTTAACTAACCTAACCGAAACGAAATAATTCTACCGCCTTTGTCTCGTTACAGCTTTAGGCGGTGTGCTTATATAGATATGTTGAGTTAGGTTAGGTACGTTTACCTTAAACTTCTTTAAGTAGCACTTTGATTTGTTAGGTTAAGTAGAAATACCCAATCAAGTTACTAAGATCTAAAAAAAAACCCTCGTTAAGTTGTAAGTTTTAATTAAAGTTACGTTTGTTTTGTGCAATTTTAATAGAGCAAAAAAAAATATATAGTAAAACGTGTGCTAACATTTTTTTTAATTGTTTACTTAACATTATATATTATATTTTTTTTGTAGTATTTATTTAGTAATTTGCAGTTCCGGTGTATAAATCTAGTAAGATATTTGTTTCAAGAACTTTTTTGGTAAATTAAATAACTTATTTCTAATGTCTTGAACGATTTTTGTGATATTTATTTTGAAATTTTGGTAACTGAAATCGATAATTTAATATTGTAATGTTTTTGCGATTGTTGTAATATTTTCGTAACGTTATTGTAATGTTTTTGCGATTTTTGGAATATTTTCGTAACGTTATTGTAATGTTTTTGCGAATTTTGGAATATTTTTGTAACTGGGTTGTAATGTAATTTTTTTTTAACTTTTCGAAACATATTTTGTAACTTTGTTGTAGTTTATTTTAAGACATTTTAAGGGTTTTTTTTTTATATGCTTTCCGACTAATTATTTACCGTCAGGCTTTGAAAATTGATTTTTTTTTTTTTTGGCGAACAAGAACTGCGATTTGCGGCGCCTCCTCGATAGGTACACCTTATATACGTATGCACATACATGATACGCAGTAATAACGGTACATATAGCTTGTACAGTAGCAATTGTATATAACATACACACACACGCGGGCAGCGTCGACCGGCAGCAGCGGTGGCGACGTAAGAGGTTCAACGACCTTAAAAAAAATAACTACTACGATTGCCTATAACTCCGCCGCCGCGGGTCGCACAGACCAATATTATTATTGTTATTATTATTATATATTTTACTATTATTATTTATCTGTATACAATATTAATATCCGACTATCGTTGTGTACTTAATATCGAGTTTAAGTACTACTACACCTACCATCCAAAACGCCCGAGCGCAATGACATAATAACGCGTTATTTGCGACGTTTCTTTTTGGCTCGGTACAAAATTGAAAACACAAAAAAGCGGTTTGTAATGTATTTGTTTAGGATTTTTTTTTTTATTTTTTTGTGTACAGAAATTTTTCCGGTTTCGCAACAATACGCGCAAAACCGGTCTGATATTATTATTCGGTGTACATAACGGATGATGGTTGTAAAATGGTCGTGGATCGATGGCGACGATCATCACCATGGTCGTCGTCGGTTCTCGATCATTTCGATAGGCAAACGAGTTTGCAAAAAAATAAAAATAAATAAAAATGGACTATAATACATTACAGTCAGCTGTTATGCACACACACATACTATTATAGCCGGCCAACACGGTCGGGTTCAACGACCCGCCTGTCCGTCCTAAGCGCGAGGCCCCTGCCTGGTCGGATCGTTACCAACAACAAACACACATACACACAATATACAATGGCCAACCCGTACGTTAATCTTGGCTTAATAGTAATCGAATAGTATGTATATATATACATATATATCGTTGGGCATTAATTAAAAAAAAAATCTCTACAGATGAGCCACGGTATACACGAAAACGGCTACCGATATGCGGCGGGAATCCCGCCGTCCACGGGGGTACCCTCGCCGTAGTTTACCACCCGCCCGTCTACGGACCCGGACGGGGGTACCCCCGTCGACGGCGGGATTCCCGTCGCATATCGTTAGCCGTTTTTGTGCACGGCACGGCACGGCTCGCGGGGCTTATCTGTGTATATTTTGGATATTATTTTTAATCTTATATGAGTGCAACTGCGTTGTCTTTGTGGACAACTGCAATCTGTCTGTTTACCATAAATTTACAACGACGGCGGCGGAGATCTACTGCGCTATAAAATTACACAGCAGTACATTAGCGCTGCCGTTCGAACGACCGTTACTGTGTATAATACAATATATATATATTATTAATATTATTATTATATATACAGCCTAGCGTGAGCCTAGCTGTGTCGGTGTAGTGTGTGTGTGTGTATATTATAAGAGCTGTAGTACACGGAGAGTGTCTCTCCCTGTCTCTCACTCTGTCTCTCTCTATCTATCTCTCCCACTCGGTTGCAATAGAAAGTAGGTCAGTAGTGTTAAACGCGACGAGGTGCAGCGAACGGGGGGATAAGTTGTGGCGGTAGCGGCGACGGTAGCGCAGCGCAGCACAATATAATATTATACACTTTAAACACTTACACACACACACACACACATAGTGGCCGTTTGTGTAAGTACAAAGCGGTAGCCCGTTGGAAATTTTGTAACGATTCAAAAATAATCCGTCGTTAACTTTTGTAATATGTAATAATATTATTATTATCTAATATAGTTTCCTCTCTCTGTGTAGAAAAGATTGTGTTAAAAAGTCTAAGAAAAAAATCTAATCAGCGAGAGAGAGAGAGAGACACACACAGAATCCGTTATAACAATGTTATGATAAATAAATCAAATAAGAGTATAGCATTCAAAACGATCCAACAACAGTTATATTACACTCATATAGTATTATGTTTACACAAAGGTAAATGGGTAGCTAGCTCGTGTGTACGTCAATTGAAAAAAAAAACTAAATGATAATAAACGGCTTTCGAACGATTAAACGCCGGGAAATCATTGAGCAATAATGTTTTATTATATAAACGTTGGGTTTTCAACTATTATATGAAAAAAAAAATACATAAATATTATTTACTTATTGTAAACGTTGTGCAATGTCAACGATGCGTTACTTTTAACCCCTTTTCGACCCTAAAACGATTTTTAATCTCAAAAACGGTAAGAATTAAATTGGAAAAATCGACAAAAACCGTGAAAAATGTGGTTTTTTTATTTATTATCTATGTTTTACTACACTCGAGGAAAATATAAGGTTTGAGCTTTTGGATAAAATTGATGTACGTACAAAACTACTGAATTATTATAATTTATATATATTTATACCGTTCGAGAAGTATTTGTTGTTGAAACAATTGTTTTGGTGATATTTGATTTGGAAAAAAATGATGTAAACAATTTCAATACGATGTGTGGAAAAATCCAGTCGATTATTATTGCGAAAAAAAATGGTTTTCCTAAAAATGTTTTCATATTAAATGCGAGTACAACTTGTGTGTGTGTGTTTTTTTTCCTGAAAAACGAAGCCTGTACTATTATATCATGTGATAGTATTTACACGTTTAATGGTAGTGACATTTTTGTGTTTTATTTTTTATTTTTATTAGATTTGTCGTGGAAAAATTCGTCGACGATTGTTCTTGTTGAAAAATTCCATAAAATCTAATAGGATAATATTATGATGATGATAAAACCAATTTGAAAAATGTAGATTATATTTTATTAAAAAAAAAAAATTGGGAACTTTCCCGTTTGCCAAACGGGTAGGTTAGGTTAGATTTATTTTGTTTGGGAACTTTTCAAATTGTAATTGAAGTGATTTTGAGAACACACAATTTTTTATTTATTTTTTTTTCTGGTCCTCGTGATGGTCGAATTGCTATTCATTTAGGTGACGCGATAATTACCGGTTTTTTTTTTTTGTTTAACCCATTATTATTTCTATTATTGTTGTCATTATTGTTAACGCTTGGTGTTTTTTGTTTTTTTTTTTTTTTGTAATTACTATATTTTGTTGAGCTAGAAAATTGTTTGTGGTCTGTAGAGAAGTCAACGAGCGCTTGATTTATAT